ACTGTAAGCTTTTTCCGAGCTCTCAATTCCTGATCCTTTCCCATAACCGAGCGGCACGAGTTCTGAACGCTGCACACCCCAGAGCTTTTGAAATCCTAAATCATCCAAGAATTGCTGCTCTTTGAATAGCCGGGGAATGGATCTCTGTAGTCATCTAGTCCACTGCAGTAGAGACGAATAGCCAAGATGTTCCTGATTCGGGTTTATAATAAAGAGATTTGGGGTTACCCCAGCCCCCCCAAATTCCGAACCTTTTTGTCGCATGAGAGTTATTTGGGGGATTGGGGTTACCAAGCCCCGCTTGTCATTTTAGCGTAGTTCATGGTCGCCATTTAGAGACCCGGATGGTTGGGTTGAATCACCCAACCAAGAGTAAGGGGGGCTCTCCGGATCAAAGCTTTTTTGGATGACCTCTACAGTAAGGATCCTACTATTTCGTTCGTGTGTTTTCGGGAAGGACCCGTTTTCGTGCGTGCCCATCGTATGATGTTGAGCTATATGAGAGGAACCTTGTTTTAGAAGGCACCAGCATTTAAAAAAAGAAATCATTGGGTGCGAAAACCCTGCCGCATATAGAGCAACAGACACTGGTGCCAAGCCCACTTTTCTTTCTCATGCCTGGTTGGGAATGCCAGAATGGAACCGTGTAGTAGTGCCTCGGTAATCTCCACCATAACCACGATAGTACAGCAAACCATGGAACCAATTCCCTCGTACCCAATGCGCACAAGAAGGTTTTGCTTGTGATTCTTGAAACCCGCCATGCTTCAGCATGTTGAGTCAAAACAAGGGTTTAGGGTCAGGCAGGAAATCTTTCGACCCCAACACCCAAACGTCGGCAGTTCTGGCAAGAGACAACTTGAAAGGTTGGGGAACTTAGTAAGTGATTAATGATGAGGATAGCTGGAGTTAGAAGTGGGGTTTTAGGATATATCCATCCGTATACTTAGTTCCTCTGACCCCCAGGAAGGGGCACCAAGTCTTAACGCTCAAATTGGAAGTCTGTAGTTGCAATGGCCAGGTTTCCTGGTAGGTCCCTGTCTTGCCAGGCCTTGCACAATCTCAGCAAATATCCCCAACAACACCTTATTTGGCCGGAAGACCTCACAGCTCAAGCGGTTTGGGAATAGAACTGCTGCTGATTATTCCGGGATCCCGAAAGCCGCCCTCAAAGGAGACTAATCCCCTCCCTATTAAAGTATGCAATCATGGG